GGAAAGAAAAAAAATAAAAAGTCAAGTTATTCTTGCTCATGTATAGTTTTCTACGCAGATGTGATTCATGTGGCGAATGACATGTTACAAGAGAACCGTGGAGAAAAATCATTCAAGCTCTTTTTCTTATCCATACCCAACAAGATGTTGCTCGTTTCTTTAGTTTTGTTTCTCTCTCATACACCTCTATCAAAAAAACAAGCAAGACAATTACAATACAGTGCTAACACAAGCATAGAAAGACATTTGCTGAGAAAAGCAATAAACGAATTCATTACAAATAAAAGTTCCAAGCAATTTGCATCATAATTTCATATTGTTGAAAAAAGTAGAGGATTTTTTCATACAGGAAATGAAACTTGATGACTGAAATATCGAAAAATATAGTCAGGTGGCGTGGCAAGATGTTGTCAATATGCACTTCGTCGATGATTCCTAGTGGTAGAACGCTGATAGTCGAGGTATATTGCACAGGATTCCAGTTAGGTGGATAAGTGGAAAACGAAATTATGTAGTTCATTACGATCAAATTACGGCATAGTTACGCCATAGCTGCGATCACACTGTGACCCATAATTGCAAAAACTTATGAGGATGGGTGTGGGTCATCTCTACATACACACCCACACCTACACCCTACATCCACATCTCACACCCTTGAAGAAAATGTGGTTTTCTATATACCATTCGATGCACCTTGACTCGCTCTACAAAATTACGTATGTACTTTTTTAATTCAAATGGGTCACCAAATCTGACAGAGATCTTTTTTTCGGAAAATTTCATCCTTTTTGATAAAAAATTATTTTTAATTTGAAAATACGCTGTTGTTTTTCTTCAAATACCTTCATTGGATAGAGCAAACAAAGTTCTCTATCACACATAAATTTCATGGGAATCCGTCTTTCGAAAGGATTTCTTCGAATAAGATCTTTGCAAGAGATCGGATCAGGGTGGTTGGGCACTTTCTTTTTACCAACTATATAAGTCAAATATCGAAGCATTACTTTTTTTTATCTTTTATTGACGCAGAGCTTAACCAAGTAATTATAATGGATTCGTTTTTGCTAGTTTCTATTTTGCGTGAATTATTTGAATCAAATGCGAAGGCATCTCCTTTCAATGTAGAACAATAACTTATACTCGGCCGATTGATTTTGTCTAATAGTTGTAAGGTGAACAAGTTCAATTCTTTGAGTCACCGAAAGTAGAACATCGTCAGAAAAAAAAACAATAATATCTACTTTTTTGTTGAACTAAGATGTTTTTATTGATTTTAGCTTCTAAAACGGATGTGAATAAATATACAATAGTGTATATCTCGAAAAAGTCGATTCAGCTGTTGGCCAATTTTCATTTTCGATCGTTGTCAGAGGTGATGATAATCTTGCTGATTTCCATCGAAACCCATGTGACAAAAATCGAGAGAACATCGACGCCTAATTGCGATGTATCATGCCGATTAATATTGAGATTATATCGCGGTAAAATCGCTAACATTGGTGATTTTTCCCGATTTTTTTCCACATCGTGATTATTAAAAATTCTCGCATAGAACATCCAAACAATCTGATTACCTTCAATCCAATTCCTCCTTGTTAATTCTTCCTTCTCAATGTTTTTCCGTAATCTTGTCGTAGGATAGATTAGATATAACTTAATTTAGATAGATCCTGGTCTAGACTAAAATAATTCTCTCAAAACCTTTCAGCATCACCGATTGCTCAATCGAAAGAAACGAATCTGAAATCGAACATCCAATGGTTAGCATACTTTTCAAATTCTGAAAATGGTTTTGAAATTAGAAATAACTAATAAATGCTGTTTTTTTTTCTTTCCCAAATGAAAGAACATCTGATATTGAGTTTAATATATAAAACAGGTATCAGAGTTTTATTAGAATGAAATCGAGGATTAATCGTTCAAACATAGGTGATTTTGACGAAATGGAAGGTTAAATATTCAATTAAGTTGATCGTTTTTTAAGTGGAAACAAATCTAGGATGGATTCAAGATAGAATATTAATTTTTTAATATAAAAGATTTAATGGAACTAGTGTTGAGTGGTTTTTTTAACTGCAAGCAATATTCATCAGATATGTACTGTTTTCTCTGTTCAAATTCAATTCCATTTCAACTATTCACATACATAAGTCAGTTGAGTACAAATAGAAAAATAGATGCAAAGTTCACTTAAGAATCAAATAGCTCCTTCGAGTTTTTTTTAACTAATCTTTACATGCAAGGTAGCGAGTAATGATCAAAAATGTTCCTTGTTCGAACAAGAGATAGAATATTATATGATATCATTAGACATCTAGCTTTAGATCAATTGAAACTATTAGATCATTTCTATTCTCATCTAAGTTTCTGTACAAATGGATCTCTACCAAGAACGCTTCGTATTGAATTGATTTATATTTTCAAACAGTTCGTAAGTGTTCAACTTTATTTTAGCTCGTTTAATGATTTAGAAACAGAAAGAACGAATGATAGATACAGCACGCGATCATAGCCACTTTTAATCAGTATTTTTTTGTATGCACTTCAATATCGTTCGATCTTCTTCTGTATTTATTTTGAAAAAAGAAGTAACGAATTCACTCACATGTGTTAACACGAACTCTTATCAATGGAATATTTTTGTACGCGATTATTTCCCGAATCGACAACATAGAGATTTCCGTCAGAATCGAATGATAAATCACTCGGCTCACTAAGTTGATCAGATCGAGAACCTTCGCCACGATCACCGACAATAACATTGCCGGATATAGCTCCACGTGGCCATCGCATTATTCGATGATTTTTAGTATCAGCCACATAGATCGTACCCAACTGATCGACAGCAACACTCAATGGCAAATTTAATTTATTTTCATCACGACCAGCAGAACCAATACCAGCAACAATCGAAATTTGTGTTGTTTCATTATCTACTTTTATTACTCTGTGATTCCAGTGATCAGCTACAACGATAGATTGATTGAGATCAACAAACAGTAAGCAAGGACGATTAAGTCCTGAAATAATCACTTGTCCAATTGTCTCGTCAACACGCCATTTTTTCACAATGTTCTCAGTCCAATCAGACACATAGAGTGATCCTTCATTATCTCTTGCTATGCCAGAAGCAGCGATATTCTTAATAACTGTTTGTCCACTTTGAGCATCTCGAAGCCATTTCTGCACACGCTTATTATTATAGTCACAAATGTATAGTGTTTCATCTTGATCGACAACAACATCAATAGGGTAATGTAATTGATCATCACGAGCTCCTTGTCGTTTTCCACCTGCAACTAACTCACCACTCGAAGCACCACGTTTCCATTTCATGATACGCTCGTTAGAGCGATCTGCCACATAAATAGTTTGATTCTCATCAACAAATAATCCAAATGGTCTATCGAACTGATTTAATTCTGATCCGCTACCATTACCACCAGCTACAGTTTGACCATTTTGAGCCCATGTTGCAGTTGCACAAATACCCTTATCAGGTGTCACTGATGAAGATACAGCTAGGAAAACGGAGAGGACAAAAGGTATCAATCAATTGAATACAACAGATTCTTTTTTCTTGTTGATTAAATTAGGACGCATACATATGCCATCTCATCAAATTTATCTCAAAGATTAAACAATGGAAACAGTTGAGTAGTGGAAAAGCGAGATGATCAAAACTGACGAGACAATTTCTTCAGGTTTAAAATCATTTTTCACCCAAGACTATTGCCATTAGATAGATTCCAGTGAGTAGTATAAAAGTAAATCTTGGTTACGATTCCTAGGCTCCACGGTCTGTGATATTGCATTTTCAGCCAATTTTTTAGCAGATTTTGGAATTAGAATGCGTTACATTTACTTCTGATCTGAGATCTGAGATATCAGTTTTCGAAAAAATTGGTTCTCTTGTTGAGTCAATTTATACTTCTGCATCGACGGTTAAAAAAAAATTCTGAAACCTTGGATTTTGACTACTGCAATTGAAAACTATTCACTGTTCAATTTTCAGGTCTCACGTTCGAAGCAAGTGTAACGCACTGTAATCCTGAAATATGCTGGAAAATTAACTAAAACTGCAATATTTGAGTCCATGAGATCGATGAATCAAAACCAAGATACACCTTTATACTACTTACTGAGACCGATCTAATAGTAAAATAGTCTCGGATGAAAAGCGATTTTACATCGGAAGAGGTTATCTTATGAGATGAATACTAAGAATAGTCTTTAATCTGAAAGAGTACTCGACGTGATAAGCAGAAAAGTAATCAGTTCTTGTATTCAACAAAAATCTGCATAGAGAGCAAAAAAAGGAGGAGTGTGCTTTTAGCTGAAAACTCTTGCATCAACAAAAATTCATCAAAATATTTTGGAAAATGGTAAAGTTCTCGTTAAAATACTGATCTATCACTTCAGATTGTCATTTATCAAAAAGATTTCCCTGTACAGAAGAGAAATACTCATTATTTTCAAGTCTGAAAACTTTTGATTAACAGAGAGTATTCCATTGACAAGAAAAAAAATTGATAGTCAGTTTTGTCGTTAGATGCAAAGCTTCTTCTTTTCTCTTAGTTGAATTACTTCAATTTTGACTACTTTCTAGCGTTCTTCGTCTCGTTCTATATCTAATGAAGTCTTCATCTCAATAACCGAAATAGAATTTTACTCTTGATAGTATAAATTCGAATAGTGATCACATAAAATAATGTTGTTTTTATCTTTTCTTCACTTTAATAGAGATTTGGTTGATAAAAAAAAGTTGATAGTAAAGATAAATGACTCTGAACTTGTGTAGTCTCATTTCAATGACATTTTTTTATTTTTTTTTTGAATCTTCTTGTTCTAGAAAGACTAAAAAACTTACTTGTTGTTGTGATTGGTATGGTCATGATCGGTGCAGTGCTTGAGATTGTTGTCATTGTCGTATTCGTTGCTATTCGTCAAAAGAAAATAATATTTAATTAAAAAAACTTTGCAGCAGATACATTTAATTCCGACATTCAATGAATTAGACGTATCCAATGATTTTATATATGAAATGTTAAGAAGAGTAATTATAACAACAATATTTTCTTTACATCTTCTATTTTTTTGCCGGACAGAAGTGTAACACAGACTGTATTTAATAATATACATCTGGCATTAGCTCAGAAATTGAATTTTGAGGATACCAGTATATCTGAAGATATGCTTTCTTCATTCTGTATTTCAAAATTAAAAAAATAAAAATGGCATGTTTCAATGTCATTCTTCGATTCATTTTCTCTGATGTATGACTAGATGGAGTGAAAGGCCCCAAATGATGATAGATTTTAATAAGTTGAAAGTTATTGCGGAGTGTAGGTGTTGGTCTTTTTTTATTTAAGTCTACACCCACACCTGCACTCTCTATAGATCACTGTTTGTTCTCTTACTTGTTATCGGTGGGCAAAGTTTTTGATTGAAACTCGGTATTGGATAACAAACAGGATGATTATGACATCGAGGATGATGAACACATCTATGGTTAGATTCATTACAAACGTTGTTTGAGCGTTCGCATGGAACTAGCTCAGAACAATCCACAAACTCATCACCACAAATGCCAACACCAAGAGCACCTGCTATATAGAAACAGGTACATGCACTATTTGGCGAACATCGATCATATTGAGATATTCCATGACAGAATTGAGATTTCACTCGAACTATTGACATACTAAATTAATAGCAGAATATGTAAAACGAAACAAGAATCAAACCTGTAAAGCTGAAAAGGAAGATTGTTTAACATTAGATGAATAGTAAAAAAAATTACATTTTAGAATTACCTGAATAGAACGAATATGAAACAACGAACTGCTGTTGAAACCATCGCTCGCGTTAGAATGAGACAGAATAGTGGTGGAATCCATATTTATATCTAATGGATAGGTAATGTTTTTCGCATTTACTGAAAGTGAAGAAACGCACGGCCTGATCTTTCGATAAATAGAAATTCGATATTGCGCTATGCCCTTATCGAAGCACTTAATTTTTCTTCAAAAAAAAAAGTAATCTTTATAGAAGTAAAAAACGTCTTCAAACCAACACAGGATTGCTTCTGTAGTACAATCATCCAATAGGCTCGTGCTATCATTCGAAATAACGAGTACTGTTATTATCAATCATTGAATCACTATCTAACGACGATTTAGAACAACTTCAAGGACAAATTTTGTTTTTTAATATTAGTATTTTTATTACAAGCAGCTTACAGAAGTTGGTATCTTCATCAAATCAAAGTCACGATCTATAGTCTGACATATTCACTTGTGCTTTTGACTGTGTCTTCGTTGCATCTCAAGAGTTCATTTGTGCAATTTTCATCTCCAAATCTGATTTTTGACATAAACATGTTCACTTTAAGAAAATACCTTCTATGAGAGTAGTGACGTGGCTGCAAGTGCAGCAAAGACTGAGATTGTTGGCAAGCAAACAAGTTATTTTTTCTGACATCTTGCCTTCTTCCTGTGAAGAATTTTTAGTCACAGCGCTATTCAAAAACAATCTTCTCAACAAAATGATTATGCTCAATCGATTCAGTCACGTTCGACTTTAGATCACAAAGTCATTTATTAACTCCCATGTGAATGATGTTCCATTTTTTTCTCAACATCCTTCTCTCAGATCAGAGACTTGACTACAAAAATAATTTAGTGTTTTAGAGCATTCTTTTGCAACTGTCTAGCGTCCACTAGGTGAATCTGGCGAACATATCGTACTATCACACAAATGAACTTCAGCTCCATATGCTCTCATTAATTGTGTATGTTTTTCATCAATACTTTTTGGTGCAGTAATTCTTATTCGTGGATCCATAAGTACAGCTACAACTGCTATTTCTTGAGTAAAGTTTCTTCCTGAAGTAGTTACTATTATTTCTTCTTCTGTTATCTCACATCACATTTCAACATAGATTTCAACATGAGAAATGCTTGTCTATCATTAACAGAACACGTTAGATTCATTTATTCTAATTTTGATATAAACTTCATGATTGGGATGTAATATTTCAATTGGAGTAATAGAATTTCACTGACTAATCCATATGCTGAATTTAAAAATACGTGACTCATAAAAGCCTAGTAATAGCATTAACAAACTCGATACGTTTGTGCTAGACCAAGTTAATTTATTTGAAACAATAATAGTCATAAATACATATAATAAACAGAGAAATACAATATAGAATATAATCGCATTCAGACACATTGTAATTCATAGACTTTTGTCATCACGAAGGTAAAGAAGAATGTGATAATATTTTACTACAAACATCTATACATATTGAAAAGGTGACTCAATAAATAAATATTTGAATATCTAAATACTTAATACTGACATCAATAAGAGAATTAGAATTGCAATGACTATTCCATTAACAATGTACAAAAGCAATGTTGTAAAAAAAACGATAAAATTCTTGAAATTAGTAATTAGTTTTTCAATTTGACTTAAAGATGATAAACATGATTTTACCTAGTGTCCGTTTTTCTCTAAAATAATACCTAAACATCATTTTAAGTGCATGCATATCATTGGCTTTTGTTATTCTTCTTCACATTCAACTGTTAAAAATGATTAAAACTCAAAGTCAAGTGTTAAGCAGATATGAACATGGTACACCATTCATAATAGAGTAGCTTCTTATTTATTTTTATCCAACAAAACAGATATCAGTTTTTGACTCATTGTTCAATATATATATTATTACATTGCTTTCAAATAACATAAATACTTCTTAAATACTAATTCATCCAATATCAATATACAGTAGATTTTTCTTAGCTATTTTGAATAAGGATACTTATCTTTTGAATCTATATTTAAATTTCCAATGATTATTTCCACTAATCGTAGATATAATTCATTTTAAATGAATCTCTCAAGGTATGCTAAATAAGAACAAAAATTTTCTTGTCGATTCTTTTACTTAAATTAGTTAAGAATCAATTAGTAGCTTGAATCTGCCAACTTCCAAACTCAAATATTAATCGATCTAGTAGACTTTTTCATATTAAACTTATGATCGACACTGTCATTTGTCGATTTTTCTCAACACTGTCTCATTTCAATATCGAAGGTATTTGATTGGATTGAACTGAATAGTCACGGACAAGTCACCGCAGAGCAATTAGGGATGGGTGTGAGCACAGATAATTCCTTCGCTCATACCCACACCCAAAGAAAAACTTTACAGTAGCACATATATTTCATGATTTTTTTTTAAATCTTAGTGCATATTATCGAAAAATATCTTCTTGTTTGTAGAAGCTGCATTGCTTGGTTAAAAACCTAGTATTTAGGACAAATAGAAAAATCTGTTCTCTTGCTTGGAATTTATCATGGATCTATGAGAATTGCTAACGCATTTTATTTATTTCTATTCAAAAGAAACTAAGTGACTTTTTGAGAAACAGATGTTAATCAATGTGAAACTACCATGATTGACGATTAAGTAGGTCAATTCAAACGAAAACGATAAGTCATTCTGACCGATTCACAGAATACCATCGCTTTTTTCTTCAGTCTTTCCTTAGCAAGAAAAAAAAAGACCGAAAACTTCACATTCCTCAAAACATACATTTTGAAAGCTTCGCCAAATACTGTACAATATAGGTCCTGAAGTCCTCTGAATGGAAACATGATACTAACACATACGGATTCGAAAGATTCTCTGATCAGCCCAAAACAGAAGATAAGTCTCAAATGTGGATATGAATAAAAAATTTATCGACACCAGATCTAAACCCAAACCTATATATACCCACCCCTATCGTTATCCTCGCTATAAATATTTGCTACACTACTCTGTCACTCGAGTTGTGTCTATTTCATATAGAACACAAGCTTAAATACGAAAGAATCAACAAAGGAGGAGAGAGAAAATAGATCATGACCTCTTCATTTAGCACATCCTCCCACTAAGATTGGATGTATTCTTGGATGTCCATATAGTATCATAAAAAAGCGAAAGGATATAAGAAAAGAAAACAAGGACAAAATGAAAAAAAAAGGAATTTCCAAGAAAAGATTGCAACAGAAAAAGAGACACGAATTGGAACAATTAAAAGATAATATTTTCATGTTTAACATAAAATCCATTGTTTCTGACAGTTTTTTACCGTAATTAATTTGTCTGACCATCTTTTGTGTTATTGTAATTTTTTTATGTAAATAATTATACCTTAATTTAGCGTGTATTCTCAGAAAACTCGACTAAAAGTGCTTGAATTTTCCTCAGACATAAAAATAATGAATGTTGTGTAGAATGATACATACTATTATCAACATCTCCTTTCTACTCTTGTGAAGAGTACGAACAACTAACTAGATTGTGTTTCATATCTAAATTCGATAAGAATCATGCGAATGACGTTTTATATTAGAATGAAATTTTTCATTAATCTTAACTGATATCTATATGTGTTATTACTGGGATCGTGAACGCTTTGGTGTTCCTTTTTCCTCTTTATTGGCATCAATTTTTCGTGCACTTCTATTTCATCTTGGTACGATAATATTTGGTTCATTATTAATAACCATTGTTAAACTTATTCGAAGTATACTTGAATACATCGAGCAAAAAGTGAAAGATAAAACTAGTGGAATAGCTCATTGTTTATTCTGTTGTTTATTTTCTTTGAAGAAATTTTTAAAACATCTCAATAATTCTTATATAATAACAGCTATATATGGGTGTGGGTGAGGCATGGATGTGAGGGTTGGTTCGCTTTTTCACCCACACAAACGCATACCCATATCGACATCCCAAATTTCATCAGCGTTTCTTTAACAAAAGC